ATGAAAAGAGCAGGTGTTCTTAATGTTTTGTATACTCATTGTATGTGACTATTTCAGATTATTATTATTTTGTATTTATTTATTTTTAGTCATTTTAGCAGACGCCCTTATCCAGAGCGACTTACAGTTAGTGAGTGCATACATTTTTTCATACTGGCCCCCCGTGGGAAACAAACCCACAACCCTGGCGTTGCAAGCACCATGCTCTACCAACTGAGCTACACGGGCCTATTTCAGATTATTGTGGGGAGAATGTATGTGACTACAGTCGTGGTCAAAAGTTATGAGAATGACACAAATATTGGTCTTCACAAAGTTATGAGATATTTTTGTCAGATGTTACTATGGTATACTGAAGTATAATTACAATCATTCCATAAGTGTCAGATGTTATTGACAATTACATTAAGTTTATGCAAAGAGTCAACATTTGCAGTGTTGACCCTTCTTTTTCAAGACCTCTGCAATCCACTTCTGGGCCACATCCTGACTGATGGCAGCCCATTCTTGCATAATCAATGCTTGGAGTTTGTCAGAATCTGTGGGTTTTTGTTTGTCCACCTCCCTCTTGAGGATCGACCACAAGTTCTCAACGGGATTAAGGTCTGGGAAGTTTCCTGGCCATGGACCAAAAATGTCGATGTTTTGTTCCCTGAGCCACTTAGTTATCACTTTTGCCTTATGGCAAGGTGCTCCATCATGCTGGAAAAGGCATTGGTCGTCACCAAACTGTTCTTGGATGGTTGGGAGAAGTTGCTCTCTGAGGATGTGTTGGTACCATTCTTTATTCATGGCTGTGTTCTTAGGCAAAATTGTGAGTGAGCCCACTCCCTTGGCTGAGAAGCAACCCCACACATGAATGGTCTCAGGATGCTTTACTGTTGGCATGACACAGGACTGATGGTAGCGCTCACCTTGTCTTCTCCGGACAAGGTGTTTTCCGGATGCCCCAAACAATCGGAAAGGGGACTCCAAAAAAAGGACTTTACCCCAGTCCTAAGCAGTCCAATCCCTGTACCTTTTGCAGAATATCAGTCTGTCCCTGATATTTTTCCTGGAGATAAGTGGCTTCTTTGCTGCCCTTCTTGACACCAGGCCATCCTCCAAAAGTCTTCGCCTCACTGTGCGTGCAGATGCACTCACACCTGGGGGGGATGTGACCAGTGACCCTGGAGACAGGCTGATTCTGTCATCTCCACAGCCCCCACTGTCACTTATATTCACTTCTGGGAGGAAGAAAAGCAGGAAGAGGAAGGAATAATGAGGCTGGTCCTGGAGGGGAGAGGAGGAGGAGGAGGAGGAGGAGGAGGAGGAAGGAGGGGAGGATTATATATAAAGGAGGGAGCAGTGGGGCCGATAGGGACAGTGTCAGAGCGTGTGTGTGGTGTCTGAGCGTGTGTGTGGTGTCTGAGCGTGTGTGTGTGTGTGTATGTGTGTGTGTGTATGTGTATATGTCTGAGCGTGTGTATGTGTGTGTGTCTGAGCGTGTGTGTGAGCATCAAGGTCAGGGGTACATTTACACCTGTCCCTCAAGGCTGTGTGTGGGGCTTTGAAGGACCAAACGGAAATCACATCACTGGGCTGGGAGGGGAGGGGAGGGGAGGGGAGGGAGGGAGGGAGGGAGGGAGGGAGGGAGGGAGGGAGAGGAGGGAGGGAGGGAGGGAGGGAAGGAAGCAAGGAGGGAGGGAGCAGAGCAGGGAGTGTCCTTGAATGGCCAAGTACTGACTGGTGATGGGTGGGAGAATGACTGGTTTGCTGACTGGTAATGGGTGGGTGAATGACTGGTTGGCTGACTGGTAATGGGTGGGTGAATGACTGGTGATGGGTGGGTGAATGACTGGTGATGGGTGGGTGAATGACTGGTTGGCTGACTGGTGATTGGTGGGGGAATGACTGGTGATGGGTGGGTGAATGACTGGTGATTGGTGGGTGAATGACTGGTGATGGGTGGGTGAATGACTGGTTTGCTGACTGGGTGGGCTGGGTGACTGGCTGAGCTATGGACACCATGGGGAGGGCTTACAACCTTACACAGACTACCCCCTGCCTACCACCTCAGGCAGTAGGAAACAATATGTGGCTGCTGGCTGCTATCGGCAGAGGGTGATTAGTGGCCTATGATTGGCCTGTGTGTGTACTGGCTTTATGGTTTATTCAGATCAGACTGAACCATTATGTTCAATTAAAGCAAATCAACACATGATTCACTTCAGATCTGAGCCCACATGATTCACTTCCGTCAGATCTGAGCCCACATGATTCACTTCCGTCAGATCTGAGCCCACATGATTCACTTCCGTCAGATCTGAGCCCACATGATTCACTTCCGTCAGATCTGAGCCCACATGATTCACTTCCGTCAGATCTGAGCCCACATGATTCACTTCCGTCAGATCTGAGCCCACATGATTCACTTCCGTCAGATCTGAGCCCACATGATTCACTTCCGTCAGATCTGAGCCCACATTTCACTTCCGTCCAATTGGCCAATGATTCACTTCCGTCAGATCTGAGCCCACATGATTCACTTCCGTCAGATCTGAGCCCACATGATTCACTTCAGTCAGATCTGAGCCCACATGATTGCTGGACAATGCATCTGGATGTTAGTGATTTGTAATAATAATAATAATAATAATAATAATAATAATACTACAAGACTAGGTTTTACTAGTCCAGGTCAGGACCGACGCAAACTAATATGTTTTACTAGTAACTAGTCCAGGTCAGTAATCTAGTCTAAAATCCAGGTCAGTAATCTAGTCTATAATCCAGGTCGGTAATCTAGTCTATAATCCAGGTCAGTAATCTAGTCTATAATCCAAGTCAGTAATCTAGTCTATAATCCAGGTCAGTAATCTAGTCTATAATCCAAGTCAGTAATCTAGTCTATAATCCAGGTCTGTAATCTAGTCTATAATCCAGGTTGGTAATCTAGTCTATAATCCAGGTCGGTAATCTAGTCTATAATCCAGGTCAGTAATCTAGTCTATAATCCAGGTCAGTAATCTAGTCTATAATCCAAGTCAGTAATCTAGTAACTAGTACAGGTCAGTAATCTAGTCTATAATCCAGGTCAGTAATCTAGTCTATAATCCAAGTCAGTAATCTAGTAACTAGCCCAGGTCAGTAATCTAGTCTATAATCCAGGTCGGTAATCTAGTCTATAATCCAGTCTATAATCCAGGTTGGTAATCTAGTCTATAATCCAGGTCGATAATCTAGTCTATAATCCAGGTCAGTAATCTAGTAACTAGTACAGGTCAGTAATCTAGTCTATAATCAAGGTCAGTAATCTAGTCTATAATCCAGGTCAGTAATCTAGTCTATAATCCAAGTCAGTAATCTAGTAACTAGCCCAGGTCAGTAATCTCACAACAGAAGGTGTATGCAACTATAGACACAGTATCTAGAACACTATGTCTCAATATTACTGCTGTATCAATACTACTGCTGTATCAATACTACTGCTGTATCAATACTACTGCTGTATCAATACTACTGCTGTATCAATACGTATCTAGACCACCGTACGTATCTAGACCACCGTACGTATCTAGACCACCGTACGTATCTAGACCACCGTACGTATCTAGACCACCGTCTGTATCTAGACCACCGTCTGTATCTAGACCACCGTACGTATCTAGACCACCGTCTGTATCTAGACCACCGTACGTATCTAGACCACCGTACGTATCTAGACCACCGTCTGTATCTAGACCACCGTACGTATCTAGACCACCGTACGTATCTAGACCACCGTACGTATCTAGACCACCGTACGTATCTAGACCACCGTACGTCTCTAGACCACCGTACGTCTCTAGACCACCGTACGTATCTAGACCACCGTACGTATCTAGACCACCGTATGTATCTAGACCACCGTACGTATCTAGACCACAGTACGCATCTAGACCACCGTATGTATCTAGACCACCGTACGTATCTAGACCACCGTACGTATCTAGACCACCGTCTGTATCTAGACCACCGTACGTATCTAGACCACCGTATGTATCTAGACCACCGTATGTATCTAGACCACCGTCTGTATCTAGACCACCATATGTATCTAGACCACCGTATGTATCTAGACCATCACTGTATCAAGACCACTGCTGTATCAAAGTTTACTTCACCAAGCAAGCAGCCCTGTCCTGCACACATGCTCACTTAGTTAACGTTAACTGGCTAGCTAGCCAGCTAGCTAGCAATCTGTGGTACTTATGCGCGAACACTGGACTGGCGCCAAAGTGAACTCATCCTTGATACAAAAATAACACGGTTTCTGTCTGGCCCTATTATGTTAGTGGGTTTATTTAGTTAGTTTTCTGAAATATGCAATCTGCAAAAAGCAAGACCGTTAGTGCAGATCTATCATTCAGGCTATGTGCTTGCTTGAATTCATGATGAGATAACATTGTTTGCTAGCTAGCTAGCTAAATTGGTATCAAGACAACCATATGTATCAAGACCACAACACTGATTGTGATTTGTCACCATCCCAACCCACATTGTGTAATTTCTGATATATTTTAATACCAGACCCTCCAAGCCACAGCTGTCTGACATATTTTAATACCAGACCCTCCTAGCCACAGCTGCCTGAAATGGGAATCTAAATTCAAATGGAGGCCAACAATACAGGCCCTCAATCATTTCCCTCTTCCTCCTCTCTCACACACACCTCTTCCACACTGAAGATTTATTCCACAAGCGATAAACAGGATGCAGCTGCTCTTAAGACTTGGAGGGGACAGAATACGATGAGAAGGGGACTGAACCCAAATCTAATGAGGGCTTTTTTCTCTTTTTTTTCCCTCAGAGGTCCCAACCAGCAGCTCTACAACCCATCTCAACAGCTCCATCTAAAGATAACCACAGTAACCCATAATAAGCCACTGTAACATTGGAACAATACGGTCCATTCAACGGTTTTGTGTACACTGAGCCAGGCAAGCGCAATCAAGCGCAGCTTGAAATAAAAATAAATATTATTTGAACCCAGCTCTGATGTAAACATGTCCTCTCTGGAAGTTAAAGGTGAAATGTTGTAATGTTCAAATAATATAATAATAAGTGTCTTACCACTTCGTCTTCTGACCAGCACTTCTCTATGAGTTTGGGAACAGGCTTCTTGACCAGGCGCTGTAGGGCCTTGCCTGCATCATAACTGCTCTCGTGAAGCTGGGGGTGAGCAAACCAACACTTCAGATCAATATTCAGTGTTTGAAAAAAAAACAAAATTTGATGTATACTTTTTATATATAGTAAACATTTATTGTAACATGCAGGAAATAAGGCATTGACGCATCTATAAACTATGACTGTTGGGCACATTACACTGAACAAAAATATAAACGCAACATGTAAAGTTTTGGTCCCATGATTCATGAGCTGAAATAAAAGATACCAGAAATTTTCTATAATCACATTAAGCTTGTTTCTCTAAAATGTTGTGCACAAATGTGTTTACATCCCTGTTAGTGAGCATTTCTCCTTTGCCAAGATAATCCATCCACCTGACAGGTGTGGCATATCAAGAAGATGATTAAACAGCATGATCATTACACAGGTGCACCTTGTGCTAGGGACAATAAAAGGCCTCTCTAAAATGTGCAGTTTTGTCACACAACACAATGCCACAGTTGTCAAGTTTTGAGGGAGCGTGCAATTGCTATGCTGACTGCAGGAATGTCCACCAGAGCTGTTGCCAGAGAATTTAATGTTCATTTGTCTACCATAAGCCACCTCCAACGTCGCTTTAGAGAATTTGTCAGTTTGTCCAACCGGCCTCACAACCGCAGACCATGTGTAACCACGCCAGCCCAGGACCTCCACATCCAGCTTCTTCACCAGCGGGATCGTGAGACCTGCCGCCCGGACAGCTGATGAAACTGTGGGTTTGCACAACCGAAGAATTTCTGCACAAACTTCCAGAAACCGTCTCAGGGAAGCTCATCTGCGTGCTCGTCGCTCTCACCAGGGTCTTGACCTGACTGCAGTTTGGCGTCGTAACCGACTTCAGTGGGCAAATGCTCACCTTCGATGGCCACTGGCAGGCTGGAGAAGTGTGTTCTTCACAGATGAATACCGGTTTCAACTGTACCGGGCAGATGGCAGACAGCGTGTATGGCGTCGTGTGGGCAAGACGTTTGTTGACATCAACGTTGTGAACAGAGTACCCCCTATGGTGGCGGTGGGGTTATGGTATAGGCAGGCATAAGCTACGGACAACGAACACAATTGCATTTTATCGATGGCACGAACACAATTGCATTTTATCGATGGCAATTTTGAATGCACAAAGATACCATGACGAGATCCTGAGGCCCATTGTCGTGCCATTCATTCAAATCCATCACCTCGTGTTTCAGCATGATAATGCACGGCCCCATGACGCAAGGATCTGTACAAAATTCCTGGAAAGTGAAAATTGTCCCAGTTCTTCCATGGCCTGTGTACTCACCAGACATGTCACCCACTGAACATGTTTGGGATGCTCTGGATCGACGTGTACGACAGCGTGTTCCAGTTCCCGCCAATATCCACCAACTTCGCACAGCCATTGAAGAGGAGTGGGACAACATTCCACAGGCCACAATCAACAGCCTGATCAACTCTATACGAAGGAGATGTGTCACGCTGCATGAGGCAAATGGTGCTCACACCAGATACTGACTGGTTTTCTGATCCACGCCCCTACCTTTAAAAAAAAAGTATCTGTGACCAACAGATGCATATCTGTATTCCCAGTAATGTGAAATGCATAGATTAGGGCCTAATGGATTTATTTCAATTGACTGATTTCCTTATGAACTGTAACTCAGTAAAATCTTTGACATTGTTGCATTTTGCATTTATATTTTTGTTTAGTGTAGATATGCATGCACAAACAAGTAGCATTTTTTATTCAATTTTCTCTATTTGTTAAACGTCTAAGGAGATATCAAGCTCTACTTAAAACAGTCATCACAGAGATACAAACTCTGCCACATTGGGATAGCAAATTTAGTTTAGGGAGGAGAGACAGTGACCTGCTAGCGATGGTCATTCTCTGGTTTATAGAGTCTGAATATAAATACACTGTTTAGGATGATTTCAGTTAATTCTTTGCTTCCTCTGGTCTAGATTCATTTTGAAAGCAAGGGTCAAAGCTCTGATCAAGCATGATACATCGGAAGTGTCAGACGCCTGGTTTCTTCTTTATGATGAAGCAGAGGAAGTGCTACTAACCTGGGTCTCTAGTTCTGCCATATTTGTTCTACCATATTCGTTATAGTTCTACCATATTAGTTCTAGTTCTACCATATTAGTTCTAGTTCTACCATATTAGTTCTAGTTCTACCATCTTAGTTCTAGTTCTACCATATTAGTTCTAGTCCTACCATATTAGTTCTAGTCCTACTATATTAGTTCTAGTTCTACCATATTAGTTCTAGTTCTACCATATTAGTTCTAGTTCTGCCATATTAGTTCTAGTTCTACCATATTAGTTCTAGTTCTACCATATTAGTTATAGTTCTACCATATTAGTTATAGTTCTACCGTATTAGTTCGTTCTACCATATTAGTTCGTGTCCTACTATATTAGTTCTAGTTCTACCATATTAGTTCTAGTTCTACCATATTAGTTCTAGTTCTACCATATTAGTTCTAGTTCTACCATATTAGTTCTAGTTCTGCCATATTAGTTCTAGTTCTACCATATTAGTTATAGTTCTTCCATATTAGTTATAGTTCTTCCATATTAGTTATAGTTCTTCCATATTAGTTATAGTTCTACCATATTAGATATATATTTCTACCATATTAGGCCGGTTGGACGTACTGCCAAATTCTCTAAAACGACGTTGCAGTCAGCATGCCAATTCCACGCTCCCTCAAAACTTGAGGAATCTGTGGCATGGTATTGTGTGACAAAACTGCACATTTTAGAGTGGCCTTTTATTGTCCCCAGCACAAGGTGCACCTGTGTAATGATCATGCTGTTTAATCAGCTTCTTGATATGCCACACCTGTCAGGTGGATGGATTATCTTGGCAAAGGAGAAATGCTCACTACCAGGGATGTAAACACATTTGAGAGAAATAAGCTCTTTGTGCATATGGAAAATGTCTGGGATCTTTTATTTCAGCTCATGAAACATGGGACCAACACTTTACATGTTGCATTTATATTTCTGTTCAGTGTAGTTTTGGTGAACATGAGAAGGTAACTCGCATCTTTATCAAATGTATTTTGGATTTGATTCTTGCCAGTCTGTCAGAGGTGTACTGATGCAGGCTTGTGTTGTGTAGTTACTCACCGTGTTCAGTGCGTTGAGTGTGGTGTCGTCTCGAGAGGCTGCTAGACACCCGTCTTCTGTAGAACCTCCGTCACACATCCCAGCGAAGGCGGCCATGCTCCTGGAGAACACACAGAGAACGGGACATTTTAAAGAAACTTCTGCTAATCAAAAACAAGCTACGTTGCAAGTCACAGAGAGAAAGTAAATACAACTGCATTTCCAACTTCCAAGTCATCTTAGACAGATATAAAAGCTATTCTTTGTAAGATCAATCATCTTTTTAATATATTTTATACAGCAAGAACCTTCCAATACATCTAGGACTCTTGGCCCTGTTCAACACTTTGGTGGCTGGTAACCAGGCCAGCACAGTCCAGCTTACATGGGCTCCCGAGTGGTGCAGCGGTCTGAGGCACTGCATCTCAGCGGTCTAAGGCACTGCATCTCAGCGGTCTAAGGCACTGCATCTCAGCGGTCTAAGGCACTGCATCTCAGCGGTCTAAGGCACTGCCTCTCAGCGGTCTAAGGCACTGCGTCTCAGCGGTCTAAGGCACTGCGTCTCAGCGGTCTAAGGCACTGCGTCTCAGCGGTCTGAGGCACTGCGTCTCAGCGGTCTAAGGTACTGCATCTGAGTGTTTGAGGCGTCACTACAGACCCCCTGGTTCGATTCCAGGCTGTATCACAACCGGCCGTGATTGGGAGTGCCATAGGGCGGCGCACAATTCGCCCAGCGTCGTCTGGGTTTGGCCGTCATTGTAAATAAGAATTTGTTCTTAACTGACTTGCCTAGTTAAATAAAGGTAAAATATATATATATTTTTTTTTTAAACAGTGGGAAGCGGGTATAGGACTATTCCCTTCTGACATGGAGCAGGGTCATGTCTCCTGAGCTCACCTAGCAGCCTTGAGGCAAGTTGACGGAGGGTATTGGATTATCTTTCCAGAAAGAGTAGGGACAGAGGTCGTGTCTCACCTTGCAGCCCTGAGGTACATGAGCAGGTCACAGTCGTTGACCCCTGGCATCCACACCAGCTCCTCATTCTCGGTCACATGACCCAGGCCCACCGGGGCCTCGGAAGGGAAGGGCTGCAGCTCGGGAAGCTTGGCCTAATTAGGGAGGAGAGAGGAGAGGGAGGAGGGAGGGAAGACAGAGGGGGGAGAGAGGGAGGGAGAGAGAAAAGAGGAGGAGGGAGGAGAAAGGGATTGAGAGATGGTGTCAATCACACTACAAATAGCACCGCAAGTCTAGCCTGTGAAATATCAGCTTTCAGATCCTTTTCATCGCAATCTAACAGAGTGGCTTGTCTGAGCAAATATCCCAAATCACTCTGGTTTATACATCTCTAATAGGATAATGTTGGGAAACGTTTACAATTTCACTCCTATTGTAATTAATTACAGGTCATATTTTTTGATAGGAATCTGTAAACACTGGACAGCTACTTTAATAATAAGTGTAAGACGACTTACTTGATGACTGGGCCCCACTCTGATTTCTCCCTGTGTGCTGTTTAGTCGCCTGGTAGACAGAATCAGTTGTTAGATCACAACAAAGAAAATTCATACTGATGGTGTTACAGAACTAGCTTAGCGCAACCTGGAAACAGGTTAAATGAACTGACTAGGTCCTTTCCCTTGAGGTAATCATTGTCTGGCTGGAGCAAAATAAGACATATTGTCTTTATTATAGGACAAGGTAACCAATCATGTCAATACCTCAGCAACAAAGAGTTCCTGGGGAATATTTATTAGTAAAAATTAAAGACGGGCAGAAATTGTACCGCCATTTCCTAGCTGCAAAAAATTCTAATAATTCACCTAATCTCAGTTTATGTGACAAAACAAGCAGTCATAGTGTGGAGAATCGTTGTACCATCTAAACCGCCACTAAGTATATTTTCCAATATCAAAAATATTGCATTTTCAGCTGTTTGAAGCTGGTGTACAAAACAGAACGTCAAAGACGTCAAAAGGAAAATTCAGAACAGGAAGCGTAGAAATGGCGCACGTAGAACCGATCTACCGCTTCTTAGACTTGCTTTCAGCGGGAAAGTAAAGCTCTATAACTCACATTTCTATGGGAATTTGGTCCGGTCGCCCACAAAGTTACATATCGTAGCTTTAAAAGGCATATTGCAGATTTTGTTGCAATGTATATTTCAAGATTTAGATGTATTTTTCTATGGAAGAGATGCTTCTGTACACAAAGAGAACGTGTTTTCTCTAGGATATTTTTTTGCAATAAAATGTGTGAAACACCTCTTAACGCTGATATTATAGACACATTCAGCAACAAACAAAACAGCATCCCACTTACAGGAGGGGGGGGGGGTATACACACTATTACATTGAAATAGAGCCTGCCTGCCAAATGGCTGTACAAATGCTGGTAACCATAGCAACAACTGCCTAGCAATTTAATAATAACAATAATAATAACAATAATAGTAATGTCCCTCCAGCTGCAGTGGATTAAAGAAAATGACAAGACGTTCCTTTTTTCAAAAGCCCCCCCTATCCTCTCCTTTCCCTTCCGTTGCCTAGGTAACGGCGCTTAGATTTTCATACGGTATAGTCCCTAGATCGGATAGTTGCTGCGGGGCTGAGGCGGCCCAGAAACTGTCAAAGAGTGATTTGCGACGCCGAGACGCTCTCTCACTCTCCATCACTTGAGCTGGCTGTGGCTAGGGCTGGCTGGACTGGGTTTCTTGAAACCCTGAGACTGCTAGGTTCCCCGTGCTAGCTTTAAAGCCATCCAACCACAAGCCTGGCCCCATCACTCTGAAGGCTACACGTCTGTCTCAGTGGACTAATCCATTGCAGAGGCCACGGGGACGGCACAGTCCAGCCACTCTAAGACACGTGATACTGAAATTGTATATGTTTATATTATGTAAAAAAATAAACGGTGCAACACTAATAAATATAATATTATTTTTATAACAAATGCGTTTTCTCCCGCATTGGATACGATCGCTGCCCGCGGTTCTGAAACAATCTTCAGTGTGCCGCAGAATTGACACCTTTCCCTATGTTGCCATGAGCATTATAGCAAAGTTAACAAGTATATTGGGATTGAGAACAATGTGGCGGAGGCAGCAGCAGCAGAGATGAGGAAACAGCCCTTGCCTTTAGCCTAATTGTCTAAGAAAATTGAGGAGAGAGGAAACCCCAACTTAATTAGGTCTATAATTAATAGCCTAACTGTTAAATGGGCCTGGCTTTATAAAATCATCCATATATAGCTACACAAATAAGACAGATCTTGCTTCTGTTGCCTGTTTTAGTGTTTGATTCAGTGAGTACCAAGCCTCATGCAACGGCAAAACGTCGGATTAAAGCAATCTCACAGATTCGGCTGTTTTCAATCTTTGTTATGTTGTAATAAAGGCTTTACAATTTATTTTAATTTTTTTAGAACAGACAGGTATTACTTAACATTTATTTAGTGTTGTTTACACTGTTCCAAACAGGCAGAACAATTATATTGTAATCTAACAGCACCTGTTTGTCACACATAATATGCACGCAGCTCTCGCTCCTAGACCCTCCTTTATCTAGATCTCCTTCTTATTGTTATTATTATTATTATTATTATGATCACTATAATAATATGTAATGTTGTTATCATTAGTAGGCTTTGTATAGTAGCCTTTTATAACCACCATCGAGCTGTAGGCCTAAGAGCACGTCCTGTTTAGTCTTAATACCGTAACTTACTTAGGCCCATATTTCAATATATGTAGACTGACCGCCTTGACAACATTTGAAATTGTGTTTTTTTTTTACATTGAATGCTCCAGAGAGCGAAACGAGATGGGTGGGGCTAAAGCTTAAGAGGGTGTGAACGATGCTGAATGGGTGTAGACAAAGAAGAGCTCTTCAGTGAGAGAACACCCCATTGACCATTTTACTCACCCTAGCAGAGATGGTTCGGCTGTTTTCATGTTATCCAGAGCGTTGGTGACTAACTGTGCTGCTGGCGACGTTTACTGACACTGGCCAAATTCAACGGGTGTTGTGCGTTCGTAAATTCATCAGTTAATCTGCGCTCTGTCATACTCAGACTGAATTTACAAACACACCCGAAATGGTTACTTGCATAGTGGAGTTTTTGTTAAGACATGTAGCTAAGCTAACTAGGTAAACAATGAACCATAATCCCAACTCATGACGTTACTACCCTGAATGAATCTGCAGGTAGCAAACCAACCATGTTCAATGTTAGCAAGCAAATGGCTCAGATACGAATAATTAGATCATACACGAATCGTTAGGTAGCGAGCCAGCCAGCTAACGTTAGCTAACTAGCTAACAGTACACTTTAAATTGAAATGAAACCACTTTGTCAAAATGATCTCAGCCAATCACGGCTAATGGGAGTGTTGCTGTCTTTTTCTGTGGCTTAACCAACTATGCTCGTAATTTAATTTAACTATTTTACAGATAGCATACAAGTTTGTTATTAAGGCACATGAAAGTTCACATGTTCCAGAAGGCATTTCTGTCAAAAAAAGAATTTTTATTCAAAAAAATGTTACATTCAAATGGCTCTCCTGTGGAGTAGTGACCCACGACATACGCCTAGTTTCCTGAAACGACTCACATATGGCCTACTGTATCAACCAATCATTAATTTGTTCATGCCATCACACAGCATACGAGACATTCATGCTTTGAAATGCAATCAAGCATTTTAGTTTTTAAAATTAAATAAAAAGGGAGCTTTACATTTGTACATTTTAGTCATTTAGCAGACGCTCTTATCCAGAGCGACTTACAGTTAGTGAGTGCATACATTTTCATACTATTTTCTTTTCTTTCATACTCTAACTACAATTAATCTTAACAATAAATAAACCGCAATTCATGAAGGCATGCAACTGTATTTAGTCTTCTGTAATAAAGGCTTTATATTTTGTTTTCTCGTTAGAACAGACTCTCTGGTACATTTATTTATTTAGTATTGTTTACACTGTTCCAAATGGTCCGAAAAAAATAATATTGTAATCTAACAGCAACTGTTTGGCACACATAAATACTCAGACAACGCTTGCTCCTATACCCTCCTTTTTCTTGATATCCAGTAGTTTCCACAACTAAGTCAAATGTCTTCCACCGATCTGACCTCCCCTTTCCCTCCCGAGCAACCAGTAAACATTCGCCCGTTTCGAGTTTATTTTTCACGTCCTCCGAATCCATTTTGCTGTTCCTGTGTTCGGAGTTTGTTATAACCAATTTGTTGATGTGATTATGATAGGCTAGAGGTCAGGCCCTATGGGTCACATGCATGCGATGCTTACGTGTTTCACGTGAATAGAGCAAGGGTCGAGGGGAAAGGGAATGTTTTTCATGAACAAAATTAGGGATTTCGGTAAAATAACTTTTCAGTCAGAAACAAGCAAGAAACTAAAACGGCTGAAATTATGTTGCAGCTTCAGCCATTAAACGCACAGCGCAATAAACACTTGCTGTGATGTGGTGCCTTTTCACTGCAGTAGGGAGGAGATCGAGCCAACGTTTGCCAGTCACTCAGGCTCTCGCTGTGATTGTTTTGTAACACAGTGTGACCATCGTGCTCTTTCTTGAGGCATTTGTGTGTCTTAATTATTTAATCAAACAGCGTGCTTAAATTATCAGACAAGCTCAGTGCATATGTGGTTGATTTTATTCAAACACATTGGGTGCCTCTGTCTATATATGGAAAAATAAGTAAACAGGACGACTCTCTGTCAACCAAGATTATTTTTTTTGTCGGGGGACAGTCCTAGGTTAATCAAACGACAGGTTATTCACTGCAGTTTACAGCCGAGACTAGAGTTGTGTACTCACTTGAAAACAATCATAACATTCTTCATTACATTGTGTTTTGTTGTAGCCTAGGTAGGACACATTTCTTGTCCATAAAAACTGAAACGATAGGGTAGCTTTTCGAGCTAGTAGGAGGGCACTCGGCGCATCCTCGGGAGTGCGCATAGTGTAGGCTATGATTTCGTTATCTCTCACTGCGTAAATTGACTGGATATGTTCACGGCAGCATTAAGCCTAACATCGAGCTTTTGAATTATGGGCTAATATGCAAAGGCTTCTAACTTAGGCTGTAGGCTACATCTGAACCCTGTCTGTCTTTGTTCTGTTGCGCAATAAACACACCTGGTCTCTCCGCTGCCACGGCTACTCCTTTTCAATCTTGTGGAGTCCCAGGAAAAGCCAGACTACAAAAGCCTGTTTGGACACTTATTTTGACTTATTTCTTTAGCCTCCTAACAGCCAATAGGAGGAGAGATGCACGCTTCCTCTTGCTTGCTGAATGTTAAAGTTTAAGAACGGGCGGGGAGTTGGAAAGGAGAAGCCCATATTTTCCAATAGGCCAATCTTAACACCGGGCTACATCCTGACAAAACAGGCCTACACCGTATGGAGTGGGATGCTAATGTGCCTTTCTGTAACTTCTAAATCGTCGAGAACAGACGCAAACTGATTCAAATGGTTGTTGCGTAATCAGGCCTAGACTGTTGGCCTATGCAGTCATTTCATCATGAAACAAAAACAGGACGTTTGAGCGGTTATTCAAATTAGCCTGCATCACTGCAGTTTACAGCCTACGCACAATCACTGTGTATTCAACTTGATAACAATAATACATTCCTCATTGCACTGTGTTTCTGTAGCCCAGGTAGAATAAGGTTCTTGTCTATAAACGTAGGCTTAGGCCTAATCAATAGTGGAGCTTTGCGTGCCCAGGGACAACAGAGTGCAGCTTGAAGGAACACACAGATCTGCCGTTTCATAATCTTTTTTTCTTCTTCTTCTTGCACTTTGACAGGTAAATATTTAACCTATAGCCCTTATATTTAGCTAATGAATAGCCTAACATCTAGCTAATGTTTAAGCTTCTTACTTCGGCTACACATCACTAGCCCCTCTCTTCCAGCTGTATCCGTGAGCAGCAGGCTATAGCAGGGGTAGTCAACCCTGGTCCTGTTTTTGATTTAACCAACCTGGAAGACCAGATGTGTTGAATTTAAGCAATCATTGAACTGATCAATTAGCTCAATTGGTCTGGTCTGGTGCCTATTTGGAACAAAATCCTGCCGTACCTGTGGAACTCCAGGAAAATGGTTCCTACCCCTAGGTCATAGGCCATGCAAGCCTCTCCACAATAGGCCATTCATCTTCTCGTGGAAATCCCAGGAAAAGCTGAGGAGTATTTCTGTCTGCAATAAAGCCCTTTAGTGGGGAAAAAACTCATTCTGATGGGCTGGGCCTGGCTCCCCAGTGGGTAGGTGGGCCTATGCCCTCCCAGGCCCACCTATGGCTGCACCCATTGCCCAGTCATGTGAAATCCATAGATTAGGGCGTAATTAATTTATTCAATTGCCTTATTTCCTTATGTGAACTGTAACTCAGTAAAAAGTATTTGTTGTTGAATTGCTACATTTAAATACGAGTTAGTTAATTTTTTTTCATCAGGCCTACATGTACATTGAAGTATTATTAGCAGTTGTCACTATGACAATGAACACACCCTGAAAGCACTGAATGGTCTGAACCAGTATCTGTGGGTTAGAGACCTCATGGTCTGAACCAGTCTCTGTGGGTTAGAGACCTCATGGTCTGAACCAGTCTCTGTGGGTTAGAGACCTCCTGGTCTTGACCAGGTATCTGTGGTTAGAGACCTTCATGATGGTCTGAACCAGTATCTGTGGGTTAGAGACCTCATGAATGGTCGGCACCCAGTATCTGTGGTGTTAGAGCCCTCATCGATGGTCTGAACCAGTATCTGTTGGGTTAGAGACCTCATGAATGGTCTGAACCGTATATGGGGTTAGAGACCTCATGACGGTATGAACCAGTATCTGTGGGGAGACATCATGAATGGTCTGAACCAGTATTGTTGTGTTAGAGGACCTCATGAATGGTCTGAACCAATATCTGTGGGTTAGGACCTCATGAATGGTCTGAACCAGTATCTGTGGGTTAGAGACCTCATGAATGGTCTTGTGTTACCACCTTATGATTATAGGTAGCGTGCCGTAGGATGCGTTGATCAGTTGATTGACGGGGGTAGGACAGTAGAACGATAAACTTTCCTCTAGTGTGGATGCTCACCAATGTTTTATAGTTATGTAGCCTATAGTTTATCATTATACAGTGCATTGGGAAAGTATTCAGACCCATTCCCTTTTTCCACATTTGTTACGTTACAGCCTTATTCTAAAATGTATTTAAATAAAAATTTTCCCTTATCAATCTACACACAATACCCCATAATGACAAAGTGAAAACAGGTTTTTAGAAATTTTTACAAATATATTAAAAAAAAACATGAATAACCTTATTTACATAAGTATTCATACCCTTTGCTATGAGACTCGAAATTGAGCTCAGGTGCATCCTGTTTCCATTGATCATCCTTGAGATGTTTCTACAACTTGATTGGAGTCCATCTGTGGTAAATTCAATTGATTAGACATGATTTGGAAAGGCTCACACCTGTCTATATAAGGTCCCACAGTTGACATTGCATGTCAGAGCAAAACCAAGCCATGAGGTTGATGGAATTGTCCGTAGAGCTCCGAGACAGGATTGTGTCGAGGCACAGATCTGGGGAAAGGTACCAAAAAATGTCTGCAGCATTGAAGGTCCCCAAGAACATAGTGGCCTCCATCATTCTTCAATGGAAGAAGTTTGGAACCACCAAGACTCTTCCTAGAGTTGGCCACCCGGCCAAACTGAGCAATCGGGGGAGAAGGGCCTTGGTCAGGGAGGTGACCAAAAACCCAATGGTCACTCAGCGCTCCAGCGTTCCTCTGTGGAGATGGGAGAACCTTCCAGAGGGACAACCATCTCTGCAGCACTCCACCAATCAGGCCTTTATGGTAGAGTGGCCAGACGGAAGCCACTCCTCAGTAAAAGGCACATGACAGCCCGCTTGGAGTTTGCCAAAAGGCACCTAAAGGACTCTCAGACCATGAGAAACAAGATTATTTGGTCTGATGAAACCAAGATTCAACTATTTGGCCTGAATGCCAAGCGTCACGTCTGGAGGAAACCTGGCCTCATGAATGGTCTAAACCAGTATATGTGTGGTTAGAGACCTCATGGTCTGAACCAGTATCTGGCACCATCCCTACGGTGAAGCATGGTGGCAGCATCATGCTGTGGGGATGTTTTTCAGTGGCAGGGACTGGGAGACTAGTCAGGATCGAGGGAAAGATGAATGGAGCAAAGTACAGAGAGATCCTTGATGAAAACCTGCTCCAGAGTGCTCAGCACCTCAGGCTGGGGCGAAGATTCACCTTCCAACAGGACAATGACCCTAATCACACAGCCAAGACAAACACAGGAGTGGCTTCGGGACAAGTCTCTGAATGTCCTTGAGTGGCCCAGCCAGAGCCCGGACTTGAACCCGATCAAACATCTCTGGAGAGACCTGAAAATAGCTGTGCAGCGACGCTCCCCATCCAACCTGACAGAGCTTGAGAGGATCTGCAGAGAAAAATGGGAGAAACTCCCCAAATACAGGTGTGCCAAGCTTGTAGCATCATACCCAAGAAGACTCGAGTCTGTAATCCCTGCCAAAGTTGCTTCAACAAAGTACTGAGTAAAGGGTCTGAATACATTTACATCATTTAGCAGACGCTCTTATCCAGAGCGACTTACAAATTGGTGCATTCACCTTATGATAGCCAGTGGGTCAACCACTTCACAATATTTTTTTGTTGTTAATTTATTCCTTTTTTTCTAACTTGTTAATTTTTACTTTTCATTTGTTTTATATATATATATATATATATATATATATATATATATCGTTTTTTTTTATTTAATATATAAAAAAAATGTTTGGGGGGGGGGGGGGGGGGGGGTAGGGGGGTGTAGAATGATTACTTTTATACTATCCCAGGTATTCCTTAAAGAGGTGGGGTTTCAAGTGTCTCCGGAAGGTGGTCAGTGACTCCGCTGTCCTGGCGTCGTGAGGGAGCTTGTTCCACCATTGGGGTGCCAGAGCAGCGAACAGTTTTGACTGGGCTGAGCGGGAACTGTGCTTCCGCAGAGGTAGGGGAGCTAGCAGGCCAGAGGTGGAAGAACGCAATGCCCTCGTTTGGGTGTCTTATGTAAACGTGATATTTCAGTTATTTATTTTTTACATTTCTAAAAACCTGTTTTGCTTTGTCATTATGGGGTATTGTGTGTAGATCGATGAGGGGATTTTTTTATTTTTTAAATCAATTTTAGAATAAGGCTGTAACGTAACAAAATGTGGAAAAAGTCAAGGGGTCTGAATACTTTCCGAATGGACTGTAGATATTGTTATAGTTATTGGTTTGGTGGATGGCCCTTAACTCTGACACAATGAACAGTATTATCACAACAGAACTAGCCTACCAGTAGGTCTAGCTAACGTTAGCAAACTTGAATTAAATAAATATAAAATCACACCTACTTACTTGAATATTCTATAAATTGACTCCTTCAAATAATTGACTTTGGCAAGTTTGCCACCAGCGCACTGCAGTGTGGAAGTTGAATCCATTACCTCCGTAGTTTGGCTGTGCCCATTGAAAATGAGGTGGATACCATAGCATTGTTGAGTCCTCGTTTCTGGTTGGCTTGAAAGGCATTCTAGAGTGTGCATTATTTCCCTATAACGCACGGTCAATCAGCATGGTAGAATTCAATGGCTATAGTTCATTCGTACAAGTTCTATGTTTGAGCTGCTTTTGAAAGCAAAAGTCCTATTTAAAACATTATTGGCATTGTTGAATTCGATTTTTTCATAATAGCAAGCTAGGACTGATGGTTTGGTTAGCAAAAAGGCAAGTATGTTTGGTTACCAAGGCAACTACTGTAGCTATTCTAGTAAACTTGCTAGCTACTTCAGTGGATGTTGAACACATTTCGAGCGACAAGCGTGTTAAAATCATAGCCATGGTATGAAAAGGGATAATCAACTCGGAGCGCTATGCGTTCTCCGGAAAATAACGCAACTCCGTGCGACACACCTTCCACGTCGTTTGTTCTTTTCCATAGAACGCATAGCCCCTCGTTGATTATCCCTTAAATGTAGTGGTTAATCGTTTGAAGAAATCAACCAGGCCATACAATATAAATACATACCAACAGCCTTGTATTAGAGGTGTGAAACAGCATGAAAACATCATCACCATTAGTGTAAGACCAGGGAAAAAGACAAAGTGAGATGAACAGGTGAGGTACCAAATCCCCCACACACACTGGGTTACTAGGTAGTCTGACAAGGACAGAGTAAGGAAGGCAGGTGAGGTACCAATGAACCATCATTACTTTGCTATTAGACAATATATGTTTAGTTGAATTCTATAAATGTTATGTTTGGAGAAGGGAGGAATCAATGAGTTGAAAAGTCTACACTTCTTTAAAAAGAACCCATTTATTTATCAATCCATTTATGAAAAATATGTAAGGGATTGGGGGGTACATTTCCTTATGCACGTCGTCACGAGTAATATTCTAGGAAAGTAATATCTGATAATATTTTAAATGTCATCATATTATTATACCTGACCCTGAATATGGAGAAATATTAAAATGTAGCTATCCAACAGTCTTGTAACACTGTTTCAAATCTGTGTATTTTTTGTATTGTAAGAGTCAGTGAAACTTCTATAGCCAAGTCCTTACAACAGGAATTGTGCTCAACATATTTAATGTCGTCTAAAATAGAAAATGACATATGCAAGACCAAACAAGCATCTTTGTATTATTCTTCTGTATTATTGTATTCTTTACTTTCTGAACCAAAACAATAACAAGACAGTCCTGATCCAGCATGGTGTAACTTTACCGTCCACCACAGCATCAAGGCAAACCCCGCCCCTTCCATCAATTCCGTCCAATCCTTGCACGACTGTAACGCTGTCATAATATTACAAAAATAGTCACCTTTTCTAATGAACCACACTCAGTCTCCTGAGCACCTACAGCGCTCCTTCTTTGACATGATTATATTTGTCAAGCAGCGGGAGAGCTAACAATGCTTCTCAGGGCTGCCATGTCGGCTCGATTGTAAACACGAGAACACACACAGAGAGAGAGAGAGAGTAGGGTACTGCAAAATGGAGTCCGCACAAGACTTGCTTCTGTTCTTATTTCTCCTAAGGCAACAAAAATAAAGGAGAAAAAGTTAGCTTGCTCATCATATGGGTTACGAAAGGTAGTGCTTCGCCTTCATATGCCGTTACTTATGCCAAATTGTTACAACCTAGCACGTTCGGCTCGCGATTTACCTTTACGCAAGGTAAGACTGGCAGGGATTTGCACCGTGCAAGGATAGTAACCGATAAATTAAACTATGATCAGATATGCATATTCTTATGATATCTGTGACAAATGCCACTCGGTGTATAAAAGAAATTCATTCAGTAAACACATTTGCTACACTACTAGACAGATGGAATGCGAGTCGCGACTACCCAGACTGGTCTCAGAAAACTACTTGCGAAATTAAACAGTAACATGTTAATATATTTATCAACCTACCTCCGCGGGGCGAACAAGTCGTCCATTTCTGACACCGATCTCTAACGGTCGGGATGTTGACAGTTTGTCTAGAACTGTAGTGGTCGTTGTCAATCAACTCACTCTATTCCTTCCCACCTATTTGCCAGGTGCTCAAAATGGAGGAGCACGCAAAGCGCTTGGTGGAGCCTCGGAGACGGTTTTCCACTGTGACCTCACAGCGTAGCCCAGCTCGAGCTCCCGTTTCTACCACACACCCAACTGAGCATGCGCTAACAATTTACACACGCACGCGCGCGCGCGCGCAGGCAGGATCCGGAATCCAGCTCCCCTCTCGAACGTATGTCTGGTCTTATAATAAACAAGGCCATTGGAATTTAACGAGAGGCTGCAGACAACTGACACAGCGCTCCGCATACCAAACAAGAGGAGCCGGGGAGGAGAGGGAGAGGGAGGGGCAGGGTAGACTGGGGCCCTGGCTCTGAACTAGGGGGTTACAGACTAACAACAGTGGTGGTACGAAATAGGGAGGCAGCACAGCGACCGACGAGGATGTCTATTTTACGTCCAGCCATGCAGTTGCTACACTGTAACTCCTGATTTCCAACACGTCAAGGAGCCCACTAGTGATAAAGTGCTACTAGGCTACAGTGTGGATACATTGTTACAGTGTAGCTAAAATTACGGGTAAATACTGTATATTGTTTCATAGATACAGTGTAACTACAGGGTGTCTGCCTGCCCCAAGTGCATGATTACAGCCCTCAAATAAACTACAAAACAATGGCACTTCTATATATATTTTTTAATTCAACAGCGTTTCATACATCCACTCTCAGATAGAAGTACATGACTGCTGTATTTAATATGTAGGGCTGGCAGTTCCTTTTGGTTCAGGTATAAAACTACAATGATTTTAAAGTGTCAATCGTGAACTTCAGGATGATGTCCTCTGTGAATGTTAAATAGTGTGTGGTTACAGTGCATGACACTGACCTTACGGGCTAAAGTAAATGTCAGTATGATATGAAAAGATTTAAGTCCCGACACCAAAAAACTGAGCCTCTTAAGGGATTAAGCTACATGAACAATTCATGACTCCTTTCGAGATATTAGGCCAAAGCATTTCCAGGAAGAGTTCATTCCTAGTAAATGTTAAGTTTGATCACAAGCTGTGTTATTCATAACATGAAAGGGGGCAGGTTGTGTTGTGGTTTGAATATTACCAGAATATTACCATGTTATTACCATAACATTTAAATCACGCTGCTATTTTGTCCCTGCAGTGAACTATATGGAAATATCTTCAAAAGTTAGGTCATTGTAACATCCATCACCATAATAATCATGTTTAATGGCAAATAACGTAACATTCACCTTTTTATAAGGATATCTTATACTATATGAAAAATATCCTAAATCTATCCTTGATCATGCTAATGGCCGTTTTTATATCTGGCATTAATATAACATGATATGTAGGCTATGTGTGACATTTTAAAATGTATGTATTTCAGTCCTTGACTAATAAATGTTCTGTACTATGTATTAAGTCATGTTTCATGTGGACCCCAGGAAGAGTAGCTGAGGCTTTTTCAGCGGCTAATGGGGATCCTGATAAATACCAAAATAGCAGCCATAAATAACATTTTGTTTACAGATTTAAGACCTTGGGGTTTATTTTGCACTCAGCATCATATAGCGTTTTAGCTGTAATCATTATAGTGCCAGGAGCCATACTAGGTTAACAGCAGAGTTAGCAGGAGCTCTATACACACACAAAGTGTCTATGACAGGGATCCCAAATGGCGGCACGCGGGCCGAATTTGGCACACGGGTGGTTTAATTTTTAATATATATATATATATATAAAATTCTTGACAATTTTCATTGTTGGACATAGAACATTCCAGCTCCAAGCGATTTTAAATTTAGGAAATCCGTTCCCAAGTATTCCCACGAATAATACGATGCGATCGTATGCAAATGTCCGCTGAAGAATTAAACATCGTCCCGAGTCAGAATCTAGTTGATGATCCCTGATCTATGGCCTTTGGTGGTTTTATGCATGTGTTATTTATTTTACACTTATTTTACCAGATAAGTTGACAGAGTAGGGGCTGTCAGTTAATCAGTTAACCTTTTTGTAATTTTACAAATTAATCACAATTTTTATTATGGATAAAAGTGAGAATATTTCTCTTTGATCATCATGTCACCAGAATAAGACCCTCGATATCTACTGGAAAGGAGCATCAATATCACCGTGCACTTCACCACCCTGTAAAGTTAATCATAAGATATTTCATCTGTAACCTAATAAACTGCAAAGGACCACTTTGGAAACAAGCGTTTTAATTAATACTTTCAAGTGATATCCTCTCTGGGTCCACATTGCACATTTTGTTGTGTATGTCTGTTACCCAAAATAAATTCAATTCAATTAAATTCCTGAGTCGTAGTGGGAGGACCACACAACATGTCATTGCCTGACTCCAAGTTTACTTTGATATGATGGTTATTATATCAATATTTGCACATAAAAGCGTTAATTTTACAGACACAAAAAAGATCCCACCTCGTCTAGTGTATTTTGCTTTTTCGACATGTGGAAAGTTTACAGACAAATTTGCTGTTTCAATTGGGCCTGTTGTGACATTTTTTTATCCAACATAGACCAATGACTATAAGAGTTCCAAACCTCTCTGCCAATAACAGCTAGTTTTCAGTTTTCCCCTCCGCACTCAGACCCCTCCCAGAAAGTGCTAGCAACATTCTTGCTTGAGAAATAGTTTCCCCCCTGAAAAGGTACATAATTGTTACCCAGAAATGATTTGATATTGATATACAAACTGCTACATCTGGCTTTTAAGTCCACAACCATGGCGTTATTAGTCACACTCTTACCAACGGAGTCTCACAAGACAAAGAGAGGAAAAGACCAGCAGTAGAACCAATAGTCAGACAGTCCTACCTGGTCTCTGGGTTGTATCAGAACCCATAGTCAGACAGTCCTACCTGGTCTCTGGGTTGTATCAGAACCCATAGTCAGACAGTCCTACCTGGTCTCTGGGTTGTATCAGAACCCATAGTCAGACAGTCCTACCTGGTCTCTGGGTTGTATCAGAACCCATAGTCAGACAGTCCTACCTGGTCTCTGGGTTGTATCAGAACAAATAGTCAGACAGTCCTACCTGGTCTCTGGGTTGTATCAGAACAAATAGTCAGACAGTCCTACCTGGTCTCTGGGTTGTATCAGAACAAATAGTCAGACAGTCTTACCTGGTCTCTGGGTTGTATCCCAGGATGTAGAAAAAGGAGTCGATGCGAGCTTTGAACTCCCTGGCAGCAAAGATGTCGGAGAAATGGGCGATGTTACACTTCCCCCTGAAAGACAAGACAGAAAAGCAACATACATTTGTTTTATTGGTCAACATACAAGCACTATCAACACACTATATATACACCAAAGTATGTGGACACCCCTTCAAATTAGTGGATTTGGCTATTTCAGCCACACACGCTGCTGACAGGTGTATAAAATCCGAGCACACAGCCATGCAATCTCCATAGACAAACATTGCCAGTAGAATGGCCTTACTGAACAGCTCAGTGACTTTCAACGTGGCAACATCATAGGATGCTACCTTTCCAAAAAGACAGTTAGTCAAATTTCTGCCCTGCTAGAGCTGCCCCGGTCAACAGTAAGTGCGGTTATTGTGAAGTGGAAATGTCTAGGCGCAACAACGGCTCAGCCACGAAGTGGTAGACCACACAAGCTCACAGAACGGGACCACACACAAGCTCACAGAATGTGTTTCCATGGCCGAGCAGCCACACACAAGCCTAAGATCACCATGCCCAATGCCAAGCGTCGGCTGGAGTGGTGTAAAGCTCGCCGCCATTGGACTCTGGAGCAGTGGAAATACGTTCTCTGGAGTGATGAATCACACTTCACCATATGGCAGTCCGACGGACGAATCTGGGTTTGGCTGATGCCAGGAGAACGCTACCTGCCCGAATGCATAGTGCCAACTGTAAAGTTTGGTGGAGGAGGAATAATGGTCTAGGGACTGTTTTTCATGGTTCGAGCTAGGCCCCTTAGTTCTAGTGAAGGGAAATCTTAACGCTACAGCATACAATGACATTCTAGATAATAATAATAATAATAATAATAATATGCCATTTAGCAGACGCTTTTATCCAAAGCGACTTATAGTCATGCGTGCATATATTTTTGTGTATGGGTGGTCCCGGGGATCGAACCCACTACCTTGGCGTTACAAGCGCCGTGCTCTACCAGCTGAGCTACATAGGACCACAATGCTTCTGTGCTTCCAACTTTGTGGCAACAGTTTGGGGAAGGCCCTTTCCTGTTTCAGCATGACAATGCCCCCGTACACAAAGCGAGGTCCATACAAAAATGGTTTGTCAAGATCGTTGTGGAAGAACTTGACTGGCCTCCACAGAGCCCTGACCTCAACCCCATCGAACACCTTTGGGATGAATTGGAACGCCGACTGCGAGCCAGGCCTAATCGGCCAACATCAGTGCCTGACCTCACTAATGCTCAAGGCTGAATGGAAGCAAGTCCCCGCAGCAATGTTCCAACATCTAGTGGAAAGCCTTCCCAGAAGAGTGGAGGCTGTTATAGAAGCAAAGGGGGGACCAACTCCATATTAATGCCCATGATTTTGGAATGAGATGTTCAACGAGCAGGTGTCCACATACAGTACCAGTCAAAGGTTTGGACACACCTAATTATTCAAGGGTTTTTCTTTATTTTTACTATTTTCTACACTCACAACTATGAAATAACACATATGGAATCATGTAGTAACAAAAAAAAAATTAAAAAAATCAAAATACATTTTATATTTGAGATTCTTCAAATAGCCACCCTTTGCCTTGATGACAGCTTTGCACAATCTTGGCATGCTTCACCTGGAATGCTTTTCCAACAGTCTTGAATGAGATCCCACATATGCTGAGCACTTGTTGGCTGCTTTTCCTTCACTCTGCCGTCCGACTCATCCCAAACCATCTCAATTTGGTTGAGGTCGGGGGATTGTGGAGGCCAGGTCATCTGATGCAGCACTCCATCACTCTCCTTCTTGGTAAAAAAGCCCTTACACAGCCTGGTGTGTTGGGTCATTGTCCTGTTGAAAAACAAATGATAGTCCCAATAAGTCCATACCAGATGGGATGGCGTATCGCTGCAGAATGCTGTGGTAGCCATGCTGGTTAAGTGTGCCTTGAATTCTAAATAAATCACAGACAGTGTCACCAGCAAAGCACCTCCACACCATAACACCTCCTCCGCCATGCTTTACGGTGGGAACCACACATGTGGAGATCATCCGTTCACCCACACCGCATCTCACAAAGACACGGCGGTTGGAACCAAAAATCTCCAATTTGGACTCCAGACCAAAAGGACAACTTTCCACCGGTCTAATGCCCATTGCTCGTGTTTCTTGGCCCAAGCAGGTCTCTTCTTCTTATTAGTGTCCTTTAGTAGTGGTTTCTTTGCAGTAATTCGACCATGAAGGCCTGATTCACACAGTCCCCGCTGAACAGTTGACGTTGAGATGTGTCTGTGACTTGAACTCTGTGAAGCATTTATTTGGGCTGCGATTTCTGAGGCTGGTAACTCTAATGAACTTATCCTCTGCAGCAGAGGTAACTCTGGGTCTTCCATTCCTGTGGCGGTCCTCATGAGAGCCAGTTTCATCATAGCGCTTGATGGTTTTTGCAACTGCACTTGAAGAAACGTTCAATGTTCTTGACATTTTCCGTATTGACTGACCTTCATGTCTTACAGTCATGATGGACTGTCGTTTCTCTTTGCTTATTTGAGCTGTTCTTGCCATAATATGGACTTGGTCTTTTAGCAAATAGGGCTATCTTCTGTATACCACCCCCCCTACCTTGTCACCACACAAATTAACTTTTAAGAAGGCACACCTGTTCATTGAAATGCATTCCAGGTGCCTACCTCATGAAGCTGGTTGAGAGAATGCCAAGCGTGTGCAAAGCTGTCATCAAGACAAAGGGTAAAATATATTTTGATTTGTTTAACACTTTTTCTGTTACTACATGATTCCATATGTGTTATTTCCATAGTTTGTGATGTCTTCACTACTATTCTACAATGTAAAAAATAGTAAAAATACAGAAAAACCCTTGAATGAGTAGGTGTGTCCAAACTTTTGACTGGTACTGTACTTTTGCACATAAGCACATACAGTGCCTTCAGAAAGTATTCACACCCGTTCCACATTTTTTTGTGTTACAGCCAGAATTTAAAATGGATTAAATTGAGATGTTGTGCCACTGGCCTACACACAATACCCCATAATGTTAAAGTAGAATCATGTTTTTAGAAATGTTTAGAAATTAATAAAAAATGAAAAGCTGAAATGTCTTGTGGCAAAGAAATAAACTTTATGTCCTCAACACGAAGTGTTATGTTTGGGGCAAATCCAACACAACACTGAGTACCACTTCATATTTTCAAGCATGGTGGTGGCTGCATCATGTTATGGGTATGCTTGTCAGCGGCAAGGACTAGGGAGTTTTTTAGGATAAAAATAAACAGAATAGAACTTAGCACAGGCAAAATCCTAGAGGAAAACCTGGTTCAGTCTGCTTTCCAACAGACACCGGGAGACAAATTCACCTTACAGCAGGTCAATAACCTAAAACACAAGGCCAAATATAGACTGGAGTTGCTTACCATGACGACATTGAATATTCCTGAGTGGCCTAGTTACAGTTTTGACTTAAATCTGCTTGAAAATATATGGCAAGACCCTCCATCCATCCTTCATTCCTCCCTCCCTCCCTCCCTCCATCCTTCATTCCTCCCTCCCTCCATCCATTCCTCCCTCCCTCCCTCATTCCTCCCTCCCTCCATCCATTCCTCCCTCCCTCCCTCCCTCCCTCCATCCCTCATTCCTCCCTCCCTCCATTCCTCATTCATTCATTCCTCCCTCCATCCATTCCTCCCTCCCTCCCTCCATCCATTCCTCCCTCCATCCATCCATCCCTCCCTCCATCCATCCATCCATCCCTCCATTCCTCCCTCCCTCCTTCCATCCCTCATTCCTCAGAGACATGCAACCTGTGTTGCTCTGCTCTTCCAGACGTTATGACCCCAAACAAGCCAGTCACACACACACTTTCACATCCAGCAGCGTGTCTGTCTGTGCGTCTGGCCCCATCCACCAGCGTGTCTGTCTGTGCGTCTGGCCCCATCACCAGCGTGTCTGTCTGTGTGTCTGGCCCCATCCACCAGCGTGTCTGTCTGTGCGTCTGGCCCCATCCACCAGCGTGTCTGTCTGTGCGTCTGGCCCCATCCAGCAGCGTGTCTGTCTGTGTGTCTGGCCCCATCCACCAGCGTGTCTGTCTGTGTGTCTGGCCCATCCAGCAGCGTGTCTGTCTGTGTGTCTGGCCCCATCCACAGCGTGTCTGTCTGTGGTCTGGCCCCATCCACCAGCGTGTCTGTCTGTGGTCTGGCCCCATCCAGCAGCGTGTCTGTCTGTGCGTCTGGCCCCATCACCAGCGTGTCTGTCTGTGCGTCTGGCCCCATCCCAGCGTGTCTGTCTGTGCGTCTGGCCCATCCCAGCGTGTCTGTCTGTGTGTCTGGCCCCATCCAGCAGCGTGTCTGTCTGTGCGTCTGGCCCCATCACCAGCGTGTCTGTCTGTGCGTCTGGCCCCATCACAGCGTGTCTGTCTTGGTCTGGCCCCATCACAGCGTGTCTGTCTGTGCGTCTGGCCCCATCACCAGCGTGTCTGTCTGTGCGTCTGGCCCCATCACCAGCGTGTCTGTCTGTGCGTCTGGCCCCATCACCAGCGTGTCTGTCTGTGTGTCTGGCCCCATCACCAGCGTGTCTGTCTGTGCGTCTGGCCCCATCCAGCAGCGTGTCTGTCTGTGTGTCTGGCCCCATCCAGCAGCGTGTCTGTCTGTGCGTCTGGCCCCATCACCATAACAACCATCAGCCAGGTCTGCAGGCGGCTACAGATAGGAACAATAACTTCCTGACAAGATCACAGGATGAAAGCAATAGGGAGGGTGTGTGTGTGTCTGTGTGTGTGTGTGTGTGTGTCTGTGTGTGTGTGTGTGTGTGTTGTGTCTGTGTGTGTGTGTGTGTCTGTGTGTGTGTGTGTGTGTGTGTGTCTGTGTCTCTCTGTGTGTATGTGTGTCTGTGTGTGTCTCTCTGTGTGTGTGTATGTATGTGTGTCTCTGTGTGTGTGTATGTGTGTCTGTGTGTGTCTCTGTGTGTGTGTGTGTCTGTGTCTGTGTGTGTGCGCGGAGCGGGCAGCATTACATTACATCGTCCTGATGGAATTCCCTCTGCCTGCATTTATCTAAAGCTCCTATAAATAGTCAAATCACAGAGCTGCTGTGTGTGTGTGTGTGTGTGTGTGTGTGCGTGTGTGTGTGTGTGCGCATGTGTGTGTGCGCGCGCACAAGACAACTGGCTGCTAATTTAGCCTGAAATCACTGGGTTCTCCGAGACGTGGCGAGAGAGAGAGCTGCTACATTGTTTCAGATGGTTTGCGTTAAGGGGGTAGCGTTGCTGTGTGGAGCAGCAAGGAGAAAGGGAAGTCTATCTGGTTTCATATGGAGACAACCACATGCCTGTGCTCCTTTCCTTGGCACTGAGAGTTACAGCGTGATGACTATCAGCTTGGTGTTGCTGTGTGTGTGTGTGTGTGTCTGTGTGTGTGTGTGTGTGTGTGTGTGTGTGTGTGTGTAGTACTGTGTTCCAAGTTTATTTGCCACTTGCACAGGATACAACACGTGTAAAACAGTACAGTGAAATTCCTACTTGAGAGTTCTTTCCCAACACTGCCCTCATAATAATAAATAATAGAAAATAGAATTTAAAAGTCTGAATAAAAAGAAAAAAAAACAATGATTAAGTAACATGAGAATGCAGGTATATACAGGTCAGTGTCAGTACCTTATTCAATGTGTAGGGGTACTGGAGTGGTTGGATATACAGGTCAGTGTCAGTACCTTATTCAATATGCAGGGGTACTGGAGTGGTTGGATATACAGGTCAGTGTCGGTACTGGAGTGGTTGTATATACAGGTCAGCGTCAGTACCTTATTCAATGTGTAGGGGTACTGGAGTGGTTGAATATACAGGTCAGCATCAGTACCTTATTCAATGTGTAGGGGTACTGGAGTGGTTGTATATACAGGTCAGCGTCAGTACCTTATTCAATGTGCAGGGGTACTGGAGTGGTTGTGTATACAGGTCAGCATCAGTACCTTATTCAATGTGTAAGGGTACTGGAGTGGTTGTATATACAGGTCAGCGTCAGTACCTTATTCAATGTGTAAGGGTACTGGAGTGGTTGTATATACAGGTCAGCGTCAGTACCTTATTCAATGTGCAGGGGTACTGGAGTGGTTCTATATACAGGTCAGTGTCAGTACCTTATCCAATGTGCAGGGAGGGGTACTGGAGTGGTTCTATATACAGGTCAGCATCAGTACCTTATTCAATGTGCAGGGAGGGGTACTGGAGTGGTTCTATATACAGGTCAGTGTCAGTACCATATTCAATGTGTAGGGGTACTGGAGTGGTTGTATATACAGGTCAGCGTCAGTACCTTATTCAATGTGCAGGGAGGGGTACTGGAGTGGTTCTATATACAGGTCAGCATCAGTACCTTATTCAATGTGCAGGGAGGGGTACTGGAGTGGTTCTATATACAGGTCAGTGTCAGTACCATATTCAATGTGTAGGGGTACTGGAGTGGTTGTATATACAGGTCAGCTACCTTGTGTAGGGGTACTGGAGTGGTTCTATATACAGGTCAGCGTCAGTACCTTATTCAATGTGCAGGGAGGGGTACTGGAGTGGTTCTATATACAGGTCAGTGTAAGTTAGGGCTGTGGCGGTCATTACATTTTGCCAGCCGGTGATTGTCAAACAAATAACTGTCGGTCTCACGGTAATTTACCATGAATTAACATCAACACATTTAGCATCTCCTGGCTTCCACCCATAGCCTACAAGCCACTGATGCAGACCTTTGGAACATCTACATTTGAAAAAGTCTAATAAATCCATGTAATATAGCCTACACCATCACAATAAATCCATTATTTATTTTAGACAGGTCTAAAGAAACATGATATGAAGAAAATGTAGTCTATTTCAGAAGAACAGAATAGCATACTCTGCATTATGTTAGGTCCTGATCTGGCTATGCCAAATGGCTGTGGGCTACACTAGTTCATTTAGCAGACAAGATTAGCTAAGAATTCCGTGGCATTATTTTATAGTATGAAGATATTTTCTCCAAATGATTTGAGGGAGAGAGCACATGCGGCTATTCTGTGTTGAGCGGTTAACAAAGAAACAGGTCCTCCTATATGCTTAATTTAGAGTTATTAATGTAACTTTAGTTGTTCTACAAACGTTGTGCTATATGTTTTGATTTTTAATACATTCTAAGGCTGCATGATGTGACTCTAATGATGATTTCTTTTTTTAAGTTGCATGAAAGGCATGAGCTATGCTTTGTTTTTTGCGCAGGCTGTACACACTCCATCAGTCTCTCATTCACAATTTGACAAGCACTTGATAATGCCTCGAATTTCCCGGCTGCATCCCCTTTGTGTTGCCATAATCCCCCTAAAGAAATCCATGCCTTTTGTGGCCAGTGGCCGTTGTGCCCTTGGGCTGAATAACTGTAAGTCGCTCTGGATAAGAGCGTCTGCTAAATGACTAAAATGTAAATAACTCCCTTCTCCCCGCTGCGTGCCTGAAGCACGTCTCACTCACATGGTTCTCCATCATGTGATCGGGTCTTTCTCACAGTCTACAAGTGAAGAGACACACATCCGGGACGCAACTGCGCGTGTCCTTATCCAATTCTGAGGCATATATTGAAGATATTGGAATAATTGTCCCCATTTACTTTTCGTCAGCCAACAAGATGAGTAGGCTTAATGAACAGCAAAAGCGCTAGCCTATGTCAATCTACTATCCCCCACAGTCAACCCATTTCTATTCTTTGCGAGAAATAAATATTCCAAACATAGTCTGTGACAGTTGTGGGATGCGATAGATCCCAAATTCCCAAATTAATACAACCACTAGCATCAAAAAACCTTTTTTAAGCAATGAGCCTGACGCAACAGATGAGAACATTTATCTTAAAACGTTGATAAACTATTAGGCTATTTCTTCACATTATAAGCACAGCAATGCGCACAGGGCAGTAGGCTATAAGCACCAATGTTCCATTAGCAGGAAAACCCCATTCTCAAAAGTGACCGCAAATGTGATTATGTATGTAATGCTTTTATTATAAAAGGTGCATTTTTATGGTGAAAATGATCTTCCCCAAACGTCAAACTCACGCGCTGCGTATGTATGCCAGTGAGGTTGCTAAACTCGTTGTAAAGTGGATTAATGTGCTTCATTTTAGGAAATTAATTAGCTACTTTAGTTGTGATTCAAACCTTATTAAAACATATAGGCCTATGGGCTAGGATACATGAGGTGTGCGACTATGATTCGAAAAAGTCGCAAAAAAAAAAAGCATTGTTTCTTACGCTGGGCATCATTCACAAGAGATAATATATCATTCACAAGTGACAGGCTAATATTGTCACCCATCACACTATTCTTGATTTAATCTTGTCTTTACATATACTAAATAATATGTGTGTGAAATTTGTTTTGATTTAGAATGGACCATTATCATGCACCTGTATCGAAACAGGGGCAGCGGGGAAAAATACATGTCATCTATGCACTTAAATAGCGAATGGAGGACGCTTTTCCCCGTGGTTCATTTTCATGCCAGCCAGGTAGGCTATACTCTTGTTGTAAAGCGAAGCAATGTGCTTAATATTAGGAAGGTTGAGAAATAAATATAGTAGGCCTAGCCTATAGAAAGCTGATGGGATCCTCCTCTTTTTAATAGAGGCCATCAGCTCATGGGCTCTCATTAAGGGTTTGATTAGATTTTCGATTACATTTGCATTGATGTCAGAGTGATTTGAGGGACAATAGAGTGATGAGTACCAGGCTACTAATGACCATCAGCAGCATCAGAGATTGGAGAAGCCTATTTACTGTGACTAAATGGTCACATGGAATTTGACTGCCATCATGACTCGTGACCACCGGTGTGGCGGTAATATGGTCACCGTAACAACCCTAGTGTCAGTACCTTATTCAATGTGTAAGGGTACCGGAGTGGTTGAAATGTAAATGTAAATGTATTGAAGCTCGCATCTGCTACAAGACCATGGTGCTTGCCTATGGAGCTGTGAGGGGAACGGCACCTCCGTACCTTCAGGCTCTGATCAGTCCCTACACCCAAACGAGGGCACTGCGTTCATCCACCTCTGGCCTGCTGGCCCCCCTACCTCTGCGGAAGCACAGTTCCCGTTCAGCCCAGTCAAAACTGTTCGCTGCCCTGGCACCCCAATGGTGGAACAAGCTCCCTCACGACGCCAGGACAGCGGAGTCACTCACCACCTTCCGGAGACATTTGAAACCCCACCTCTTTAAGGAATACCCCCCCCCCCCCAAAAAAAAACAGTGGTTATCCCACTGGCTATAAGGTGAATGCACCTATTTGTAAGTCGGTCTGGATAAGAGCGTCTGCTAAATG